CTGCCTTTTCTCAGAAGATCAGTGCTGGGTGCCCACGAAAAGCCTCCTCGGCAAAGGTTATCGCTGAAACATGCAATCTGAGTCATGGTGCTCGCAGCCATGTAAGATCTGCTACTCACTTTTTCCCACAAACGCACATGCTCTTACTGAGAATTTTGGAATAGTTACCACCAAAAACCTCAGCTTGTGCTACCCTTATTTTTTTTTTTTTTTTTTCTTTTTAAAAAAATTAGTTTAAGAGTGTCTTCCTTCCTGCTCAGTAAAAGCTTGGAAACAGGATCTGGATGAACCCTGGAGGTAACTGAGAGGAGCTCAAGAATGTTAAATTAATATCCCTGGCTTCTTTCTTCCCCAGCATGGGTGAAGGAGGGGGATGTGGCTTGACCATTGTTCTGGAAAGTTGAGGGTAAAGAGTATTGTTGGCAAGCTACTATTTAGGACTATGTGGTCCAGACAGTGTCGTTTGCTAGTTCTAGTTCTTGCAGCTCTCAGAGAACTTAAATGAAAAACCCACTCACGTGCTGACCATCCTCAACTCTGTAAAATGGGGTGGGATCAGAAATAACTACAGTCTCCTGATGTTTCATTCTCTATTGACTGTGGCCTTAAGAGGGTATGCAGGCATATCTTCTTCAAACAATTGTGACTGCAGTTCAGATGCTGTGTGAACGTCAAATAGCCCATTCAGTAACAGCAGGGCTATGGTCATGTGCTTAAAAATTATGCACATGCACAGAAGTTTGTGGGACTGAGGCTCTATTATCACATAATGTTGGTCTTGGTTGAATCAAGTTACAACGAGATGTGGCCAGTCGCTGCAGATGAAGCCAAGCTTTGTTTCTGTGTTCGTGAGTGATTCTGCTGGGTATGTGATTTAAAACATAGTTGTTGAAATACAGATTCTTGTCCCCTCCAGAGTGGAAGGCTCTTGGGCACAAACCCGTGGGATTACTGGGATACCAACCTCTCACAGTCTCATCTTTTCCTGAGCTAGACTGGGATCTGGGCCTTTGTTATTTCTGTGCTCCTTGTCGCTTATGTTGTATGTCTTTCAGAACCTGGCTTGCTTATCACTTACTTAAATGTAGTGGGGTTGAGAGGCATCACAAAGGCTTTTGTTTAAGATTGCATCAGATGGTAAAGGAAAACTGTGCTGGGGCCCCTAAAAGCAGGCATAGAGGAGCATAGGAAAAGGCTGGAGCTTTTGCAGATCTTCCCAGGTGTGTGTCCATGCCCCTGCTGTGCCTGCTTGGAGAGGGACAAATTCAGTTTCCAGATGACAGCTTCAAACTTGGAGCCAGTGCCTCTCACCATCAATCCAACTGGGATTTCTGTGAAGTCGGTGGTCGGTTTGTGCAAGGGTAGAGCAGGAAGGAATTGGGTGGTGTAAATTCTTAATTGCTGTCACTAATATTGTGGTTGCATTGCTGAGAAACAAAGGAGAAAATGTACTTTCGGAGCTGTGTTTCTTCCCTTGCTCCTCTTTCCATCCCTGATGAGGTTTCACTCTTTCCTCCGAGTCTTTCCCTGAAGCTCCTTGCCACTCCCATCTCCCCCTACCACTCACAGGCTTCTTTCTCCTGATTTCTCCTACCTTAGTTTGGTCAACAATAAACAGATAGTGCCAATACTTAAATATTACATCACTGGGGTCAGGTTGATGCTGTAGTTAGATTAATAAAAGCTGTGAGGAGGTGGTGTGTTCTCAAGCTGTTATTCCAGGCTGCTATAGACCTCCACTGGTGGTGCTTGCAGAAAGCTCACAAGGCAGGAGAGGTGGGCAGCTGCATCTCTTTTTGTAAATGAAAATGCGGATGGTACAAGAGCTGCATATGCCAGGGATGGTAGCTTTTTACAGAGTAAAGGTATTAAGTGTGTGTTTCATTAGGAGGCATTGTATATTTATTTTAAATAATGCAACAAAATGTTTCATTAATTAGATCCTTGATTACATGTAAGTAGAGGCAGAAGGTGGGCATGATATCAATTTAGTCCCTTCTATCCTGTTAGTCTGCTTCATTACTGCCTGCTCTTCTGGTTTGCATTTGTGCATATCCTGCAGCCTTCTGCCTCAGTAAGGTATTTATTAACTCACCATATTGCTGAAATCCATCTCAGACCCTTTAATTAAAAAAAAAAAAAAAAAAGCGCAGCGCTGTTTGATGTAGCAGGATTTGGTGGCTTTGTGTTAGTGAGTGGTCAAAATGACTTGAGTAAAACCCATTTCCAGCCCCCCACCCCCAACCAACCAGCTGCAAGATTTCAAGTTAAGATTTAGAAGTGAGAGGTGAAGAAAGTCCTACTTTTTAAACTTCAGGGAATCTCTGCTTCTGTTCGATAGGTATTTAATAGTATTAAATGTTAATTCAGTTTTAGTAAAATCGCTAAATGCTGGGTTTGTGTTGTCTTTGGAGACTTTAGAGCTGCCCCCTTATTTTCATCCTCTTCAGTGGAGGAATGAAAAGGCCTGTGTGCACTTCACAGGAAATGAGTGTCTGATACAGGCTTGCAAACTGCACATTTCCAAGAACTGCTCTCAAGGTATTTTGATAATGCGCATTCTCTCTGCCTTCTCCCTTCCTGCTCCCCTGCTCTTTCTGTGCCTCTGCTTGTTCGCAAACACATGCAAAGGATGAGGGAAAGAATTGAACGGTGCCAGTATTAAGTTTGCAAATAGGCTGCTTTAGCTTTACATCGGCTCTTTGGGAGCTGTGGCTGGCAAAATCGGGTTAAGCTGTCAGCATTCAGTTGCCCTTGTCTAAGCAGAGAGTTTTTGTCCTCCCACTCATCCCCTGCAAATACTGAAGAGAAATTTTGTCTTCAGATTGTGACTTGTGCAACAGGGTTTTTTTCTGTATGTGTGATTCTGCAGTTCAGAAACAGTTTGGATCTACTTTCATACTTCCTCAGTAGCAAAGTTTATTTGGAAACTTAACGCTAAGGCTGTCAGGGAAGAAAATAAGTGTGACTGTTAGCTGTTGGAAAATGTCAGCAATCTCTGTTCCTGCAATCTGAACTGCATAGCTGGGCTTTGCCCAGTTTGCTGAAGGTGCCACACTGAAGATAAGGGGGTTCGGCATAGGTTTGCCTTGGTTGACATGCTTGTGGTGATGTGCACAGATGTCCGCAGGAATGATTTAATTATGCTTTTTGACAGACTGGCAGTGTTATTCTTAATCAATGTTGTTCTTCATGCATATTTGAGTTCTTCCTTGAGAGATTTTGGGATGTGGAGGGAGGGAAGCCAGAGCTGGAGGATTTGCCAATCCTTCCTGCTAGAAGTTGTTTGTCCTCCAAGGCCTGGCTAAGTGACACCAGTGGACCAAGAGCCCCACTCAAGGTGATGTTGAGACAGAGGGAATGTTTCTTTCTAATCTCATTGCCACAGCCATTTCTGATTCAGAGCTGCTTTAGCAGTAATCACTGAAATAGCCCATTTGTGTAGGATGCACACCAATATTTAAGTCATCCCATAAATACAAGAGGTGCTGTTCTTTTTAGTCATTTAAAAAATGAGGAAAAAACAGGCTGAGCTGCTTTAACTATTTTGCAGCAGATCTGTAGTTGATTCCTAGTAGTGACTTCATAAACCTTTGTTTACTTCTTCAGTTTTTGCATGACTAAAGGACATTCGTGACTTGTGCTGGGATCCCCTTAGTGTTATGTAAAGTTTAAATGATTAAGAGATGGCTTAAAAAGCTGATGCTTAAAAACCCCAGCCCTTTGCTGCTGGATCCCTCTGCCTAAGATCTACTAAAGCATAGGATGGTGAGTACCACAGAGAGAAAGCCAAGATATTTGAGAAAGAAGATAAATGAGACTCCTCAGATCAACTCTCTCACTTTCCCCAGCAGCAGTGTTTTAATGCCTGTGTGACTGGAGTTTTTCTTTTTATGAGTTTTAAAATTAGTTACTTTTCAATCTCGGTCACCTTTGAACTTCCTCTCTTCTAGTTTTATGAAAGAGCATAAAAAGAACAGCCTGATTGTGCTGTATCTTTCTCTTGCATCCCCTTGTATATATCGACTCTCTAAACTGAGCATGAAGTTTCTCCAGTCTCCTTCTGTCTGAACACTTACATGTGACTTCTTATCACCCATCTTTAGGCCCATCCCCTTTGTTTCAGCTCTGTCTTGTTTTATTTAAGGTGACTGGAACTGTTCATACTATCTCAGGTGGTGACATTACTGTTACGTTCCCACTGATCCATTTTGCAACCTCATGCTGGTGTTTGCGTCTTGTATTTTAATGACTGCTTTTGCATTCGGAGCTAGAGCATTCCTTAATGAACTCTCAGCACAGTTACTCGGTTCTTTTGTCAGCTGTGCTGCTTAATTTATCACTCTTTGAAATATAGACCCAGTTTGTTTTCCTACAAGTCTGCATCCACTTGCATTTGTCAGGACAGTCTCACCTGACCTCCTGATGCTTGCCAGCTTGCTGAATTTTGGTCTGACGTCTGTGGCCTGCAGAGAGTGATTTTGTCACCGGTCATGCCCGGGAGGTTGATGGAGGGGACTCTCCACTTTTCCATCTGGCTGCCTAGATTTAAGTACCTTGAGGCTTAAGCTGCCTGCTAGGAGGGCAGGGTTAAACCTCTGATGTCTGAGCTCCTGTGGGCAATGGCAGCTTGCAGACCACAGGGGAAGATTTCTAGAAAGGGACCTGGGTCAATGTATGTGTTTGCATGAGCAGAGGCAAGGGAGTCGCTCGCACCTGAGCTGGGGGAGGCTTTTGAGCAGCTCTGCAAAGTCGTCTGAGTTGATCCAGGGGGAAGATGCAGCAACTGGGAGGGTGGCAGAGAGGTGATTGGATGTGCAGGGGCTGAAATGCCTTGGTTTCCTTAGGACACCCCTTTTCCACCTCTCGTCGCCCCTGGGTGTGACTGCTCCTTCTGTCCATCTGCTTTACAGGTCCTGGGGTGCTGATGGCTCTTTACCTTGTGCACCGTGTCTCACTTTTTGACTGACTGCTTGCATGGAGGCTTTGGGGAAGTGCAAGGCATGTCCTGGCTGCTGTGGCTTCTTCAAATACCATTTTCCTGATGGAGAGCTCTGGCTGGGGATTGCCTCTCCCCCACAGTCAGGTAGCCACTGTTCCTTACAACTCTTGCAGCCCTCTGGCAATTGGTAGTGGCAGCTAATTGACTGAGAAAGCACCTCTCTTTGCATTTTAACCAGCCATTTTCAAATTCCTTTAAAATCTCTGAGTATAGTCCACTGTGTCCGGCTGACTTTCTGCTCTTTAATGTCACTTTTCACCATCTCTTCTGATAGAGCCCCGCCTTTGCCCCCTTCAGGTTAAATACCATTAAATACTGGGGAATCTCCTCAGCATCTTGCACAAGAATAAAAGAATATCTGCTTGGTTATATAGCTTTTCTGCAGTGTCCTCGTCCCCACTTGCTGGTATCGCAGTCAGCTAAATGATTCCCCCAGAGGCTTTCTGGTTTTGATAAACTGAAAATGCTATTTGTTTTCTGGTTTTTGTTTTGTTTATCTTGGCTACCTGCTGTCCCAGTTTTGTGACAGCCATCCTCATGTAAATTTGTTACCTACTGTCAGTAATTTATAGTCCTTTATATCAGCTCCACCAGGGTTAGCTTTTCATGTTCTGAGGGATTGTTGAGGTAGAGAGATTTGGGCAGGGACTGTGGTTTTGTAGTATGTATATTTGGTGCCTCTGGTCTGTGGCAGAGGCCCTTCCAAGCTGACACACCTACAACTAATACCTGCAGTATGACCTATTTTGCCCCCTGAGCCTGTCCTCTTAGCCAGGCAGTGTTTCTGCTCCATCGTTTGTGGGAGGTCTGCATGCTCTGTCACTTTAAGATTTCCTAAATAACCTCTCATGACTTAATTTTTTCTTTCTTTTCATTTTTGACTCTCAGGACTAGTTTCTTTATTTTGTGTGTTGGAAATTCCCCGTTATAAAACTTAGTGTTGTGATGCATTTGTGCTTTCTGACCCTCACCCCTTCCTCTGAAGGCACGGTAACTGGTACTGCTTAATGGCCTCACATCTTCTGAAGGTGGTCCTTCTGAAGAGCCAAGGGACAATCTCTCCCCTGTGCCTCTGTGCTCTGGGTTGCATTGGTTAAGCGCCTGGGACTCTTCTAAAATCCTAGTTCTGATCATGATACTGAATCAGTTTTAGCTGCAGACACTGCTCATTTCTTAGAGTTAGCTGCTTCTTTGAATTCCTTTCCTGCTAAATGCGATGGTGATAGCTAATTGCCTTCGCTTCTCAGGATTTACTTGTTTCCTCAAACAGGCTGGAACAACTGAAAAAAGTCAATTTAGCCAAGAGAAGCTGCAACGGAGGAAATGTATGTATGCTGCTGGTCTGGGGATGGGGGAGCTGGTAAGGCTGAGTTGCCATGACCAGTGGATGCAGAGCTTTGCTCCAACAGAGGGTGAGGATGCGTCCCTGGGCATCACTACCCCCTTCCCACTGATCCCTTTCTTGGTGGAGAGATGGGACAGAGCCTTTCCAATAGGGACCCATAGAGACTGGTGTTGTCTTTGGCCTTTTTCTTCCTTCTCATTGTGCCTTCTCCCCACCTCCTCATTTCTGTACCCAAACTGGGGAGAGGGCTGGCCACCTTCCCAGAGGGCTGGCCACCTTCCAGGAGGGCTGCTTCCCCAGCTAGTGGGTGGTGGGGAGAGAGGGAAGGCAAGGCAGCTGTGTGGAAGCTGTGTTCCCTGGCTGAGCCCAGGGCTGAGGCTTCATGTAGCTCTGCTATGGTGACATTTGCAGGGATGGCTGCTCGCTATGAAACTGCAGAGGTCAAGAGCCACGCGACCGGGCTTGCCTCGCTTACCAAAAATGTTGTTGTGTTGGCCAGAGGTAAGCAACAACAAGTGTTTGCTTAAGCCATGGCAGGATAGGCTCAGCTGCAGCTTTGAAACTGAACAGTAACCCCTAATGATTTCCCCTTTCTAACTTTTTATTTTAAATTCCCTTTTCTCCAGGGGTAAAAAAATAATTCAGTCTCCAACAGAAGCTGTCTTTGCCAGAAGTCAGTTGGTAGTTTTGGTAGTTTTACTTGCTGTGGGAACAAGCTGTAGTTGCTTGAGGCTACTGCACAGCAGACCTCGAATTCAGAGAAGCAATGTGGCTTCTCTGTTATTCTGAAATGGCAGGATTACAGTTTCACACTGGGCTATTTCTATGAGGAACAGGCTGTTTCATTTGGAAGTAGTTGTTCTGAATGTGCATAGTATTTCCAAGGTGTGAGGAAGGGACCCTGAAAACGGGGTGTTTCTTCCAGCTCTTTCAGTTAGTGCAGCAAAAGCAATTAGCTTTCCCTGTAAGCTGCCACCTTCCTTTTTCTTTGCAGCATGTTATGGAGAAACCAAACTTGTTTGCAAACTTCCCTGCCTTGAAGAATACTCAGTGCACATCACACTGTTTTGTGGGTTTTATTGGGGCAAAAACCTTTTAGCCTATATCAGCACAGTGTTACTTTAATGCAGAAAACTCATCGTAGAAAAATATGATAAGTACAAAACCTAAATATCAGATCCATGGGAAGTTATTTGTGGGTTTTGAAGTATGTTCTCTAACCTGAAAATGCTGGGAAGGGCTTGATAAAGCCAGTCCTTTTGCAGGGCATCCAGCAGCTAGTTCCCAGAGCTTGTGTACAGGATCCTCCTGCTCAGCATCTCTTGTGCATGGAAGCAGGAACTGTCACAGTGTGTGTGCTGCTTACTTTATTTTATTAAATATTGCATCCTTGAATTCTGGTTGTATAGGAAAATGTAGTTGTGGTTTGGGGTATGCACATGTGGTGTGGGTGTTTTTGTCTTTTTTCCACATATTCCCTCATGTGTCAGACATAATGGCAGCCTCGCATCAAACTCTATTTATAGCTATGGCATAAGAGATAGAGGGAACTGCAATGTCTCCTAGGCCTGCTTTGAGCTGGAGAAATTGGCTGTGATTAACGTTGGTCCTCTTAGCTGAGCTGCACCACATTCCTTGCCTAACCACAGCTCCCTCTGTGCTCTTTGGTTCACGTATGCCTGTGTGTCTCCTGCCTTTCCCTTCCTCCTCTGCCAGCCCTTTCTGGATCAGCCCTGGTCACCTTGACCGTGGTAGGGTGCTCACGTTAAGGGGCATTGGTGTGGCCATGCACTGTGGCAGGGACAGTGTGGTTTAAAACGGTGCCAGTGTGTGGCAGACGGTGGCAGTTGTGGGAACCAGTCTGTCCCACCATTAAAACACAGCACTGTGTGCTTGGCTCTTCCAGGGAGGTTTCTTCCAGCCATTTCCTCAAGCTTTCCTTTGAAACATCCTCTCCAGCCACAAATCAGTAGGCAGCACATTTCTGTGGGATGCAGACATGCAAGCAAGAGATGTCTGCTCAGGCTCTGCTGCCTGGAATGGGAACGCTGCTGCAAGGGCTTACAGGGTACCTCGGGAAGAGCGTTTCCAGATTACCTCAGCCTCCACTGAATTGCTCTAGGAACTGCAGGACTGATAATGGAGATGTTGAAGCCAAATAGAGTGTGTAGCATAGTAATGTGATGGGCCCGCAGTTCTGCTTGCTGATGGATTCACTGACAGCTGTGCAATTGCACACGGTGGTCTGCTGCTCCACCAGGTCAGTGGGTTTAGTTTTCCATCCATGAAGTAAGAAAGAAAAGCCTGGGAGCCAGGGAAGCAGGAGAGAAGAGCGCAGGCCAGAAGGGGCTGGTTAGCTATTCAGATAACAGTGAATGACTACCTAGGCACTTTCAGATAAGATACTCTAAATGCTGTGTGTTGCATTGAACAGAAGTTTGAGTTTGCTGTTTTGATTCCTTAAGCTTATTCCTGTTGCCATCATCTCTTAATGTATGGGTTTTATGGTTCCTGCTTCCAGAAGATTATGGCAATTTTGCATTTGTTCTTAGGCCATCCGTGAGTTGTCTGGACATAATCAGCTCATGGCTATGTAAGTAGCAATAATAATAATATACAACAATAATCTGTTGTCTCTGTTGCTACCTGAAGTGCTGTATACATGCTTCTACAATAATACAGGTCAAGGAAGTTGAGACAGACAAGCTGTCCACAGATTTGTTGTATTTTAGGTCCACATTATGGTGAACTAATGGGCTTAGTCACCTGTTTGATGGACATCTCTTTCTTTTCAAAGGATGGATCTGCTCTGATGGATCTGCTCTTAAGTAAAGCTTTGCAAAAACTGACAAGTGGCACATCAGATCTCATGAATTTGGACCACTTCCAGGCCTGACATCCAGAAACTCATCCCTATAGGTGGTAAATATAAACAGGTAAGCTCTTTCAGGTGTCCTGGAGGAAGAGTATAAGAATGCATCATGGCTGAGTACTTGAAGCTGCTGTTGAGCATGACAAATTTGTCAAGCCCTGGCGTGCAGGGCTGGCGTGGCTGGCACCAGAGGCTGTGTACAGTCCCTTAGTTTACTAGAATTGTCTCCTTATATGAAATACACTGCTTTGCCTGGGTAGCAAGCGAGGAGGAAAGCAGAATGCCTTGTGTCAAGAGCACTTACTTTGAAAAGCTATTGAGCTTGCAGTAAATCAGAAGGTCTGAAGAAACTTATCCAGCCTTTTAATTAGTGGGACACCAGCTTGCTAGGGTATGTTGCTTTGGCTGCAAGCACTGTTCTGACTGTCTTGTAGTAGGGAGGTAGTAACATGTTTGGACGTTGGGGTTTTTTGGGCTTTTCTGGGGAGGGGAGGGGGGAAGAAAATCTTGGTGTGGCAAATCAGAAGCAGAACTAATTATTCATGTGTATTTCATAGCAGCCTTGGGCTGGCTTATTCCTAATCCTGAGAGTCTGCTCATCCTCCTTGATGTGGGAGGCCATATGCACATAGGACCTGTTGACCCATTAAAAGTGAACCTTAAAGGTAATACCGGTAAGCGCTTCTAGAGCTAATGTTAATATAACTAATACTGCACTGCAGGCCAAGCAGTCATCTGTTGGAAATGGGTCACTGAAGCTAAACAAATTCACACCATCTGAGGCTCTGACCCATATGTTGATTTCAAACCAAGTGAACAAGTTGTGAGAGTGCTATTTTTGCATTTACTTTAAATTCAAAATGATGACACAGTCTCAGTCACTCAGACTTCTAGTAGCAGTGGATTTTTCTTGAAGGACTTGGGAGAATGACTCAAGGTTGAAAACTGGGACAAACAAGTTTATTTTTTTTTCTGTCAAATAGCATCTGCGGCCTTAAACAAATTATCTTTGTGTTTGTTATTTTTAAAACTAGCCTGGAAATAAAAGACAGCTGCCCGCTTCTGTTTTCCTGCTTGAATTCATTTTCCAACCTAGACCCATGAGATTGACAGATTTTCCATTTGGACCTAAGAGAAATTGCTGTTTGGGAAGAGTGGCTGCTGATGGGATCAAGGCTCCTTATTGTTCCCCTCGAGGCTGTAGCTGCAGCCCTGGAGGCATCTGGCAGGAGTATGATGATCTTTTTCTGTAGGAGCTAATGTCAGAAGGCCTCTATCCATAGCTTCCTTGCCCAGCAGAGAGAAGAAGGAAAGGGACAGAGATGCTGCAACTTCTTGTGATGCCTATAGTGCAGAGGTTTTGGTGGTGATAGATGGCCCTAGTCACTGCACATGGTGATTGTGTTTACTTGCATTCTGCTCACTAAATCAGCTTCCCCTAAGATTTATTCTGACTTGCTGAACCATCAGAGTAGCTTTCAACTGCTGCCTTTTTTTATTATTTTTTTTTTAGATGGAAAAGAAAAAAACCCAACTTGATTAAATCCTTCCCACCCCTCCCACCTTTCTCTAAGTGTGGAATTTCCCTCCCGCAGTGACACATAGCTAAAGGGCAGGATCAGCAGCATTCAGAGCTGTACCAGGGATGATAGCAGCTTCTGGACTGCAAATTGAAAGGCTAGAAACTGGAGAAGCTTCCCAGGCTGTTCTTGGGAAGGGTGTTTATGGCTCCCTGTACAGAGATATGCCTGACAGCTACATTATTGGTATTACTGTTAAGTATTGAGGGAGATGTTAGGAGAGAAAAGACAAGACTGTAGACTACTGTACACATGACCACCAAAAGGAGCGCAAGGCTATTGAATAACCAGCAAAGGGTGCAAGATAAGGGGAACCTCACAAGGAGCTAAGCCTAACCTAAAGCTCTCCCTCCAGAGCAAGCCCTTCATAGGTCCCTGCACATTCCCTGGGTGGCTGCCTGCCACTATGAGCCCCGATGCTCCTGCGAGTCTGTGGTAGGGGGGACTGCCAGAGACGGAGAAGTGTGCCTCTGCTGCAGGCTGTGTGTCAGCAGTCTGTTCTGCTCTGAGCACTGCTGTGCTGTCAGCGAGTGTGACTGGGTTAATGGAGTATGTCAAGGGACCGAGGGCAGGGTTTGGCGGCGAGCTGCTGACTTGTCAGGCCTGGGGAAGTGGTATGTAACAGCTCAGCTTCTCACACAGAATGAGCCTCTGGCTTGGGGCTGTGGTTTTTATATTTATGCATATATATATATATATATATATATATATACACACACACACGCACAAATGCAGAATATGTATCTTTTTATATAATTGAAATTACTTGGATGGCTGATGGCAATACTGGATTCATGAATTTGCATTTCTGAAAACAGACAACCTGGTGATAACACAAGCTGTAGGAGATGACCAGGGTTGTGACAGTAAGGGAAGGCACTTTGAATGCAGCACATGAGCAGAGGACAGTGACTGGGAGAGGGCAGCGTTGTCTGCTGGTGGGAGGAGATGTCCTTCCAGCAGAAACAGAAGTTAAGGGGCTGGAAGCGCCTGAGCAGAACTGTTCCTTGGACATCAGCAGTGCCTGGTACCAGCATTAAGTGATCTGAATTGTGGCAATCCCAGCCCTGAAGTTGATGGTGTAACTTTCTTGAAGGGGTCTTGATCAGAGACCTTTGCTTTCTCCTGACACAGTGAAACAGGCATGTCCTGGGATAAGGGAGTGGTTCATGGGGTTTGGTGGAAAGGCTCATTCCCATCTTCTGATTCTTCTAGGTCCTGTTGTCTGTCCTTTTGTCAGAGAAAGGGTTGAAGAGGCGTGAGGAAACCTTTCCACCTTTCACTGAATGACAAAGTAAATGATACTTTCCTGCTTTGGAAAATTTTTCCCTTCTGATTTGGGGTGTCATTTCCCCTTGCCAGTTTCAAGGCCTTTCTGAAAAGCCCCTATGCATCCAACAGAGGGAAATCTTGAAATACTGAGGTCTGCTAGGTTCAAATCAGCCTGCTGCAGGGTGTGCTGGGGAGCCCCTAGCAGTGAATCACAGAAACCCAATGGATGCAGAGCTCTGTAAGGTGCTACCTTGTGCTGGTAGGGACCCAGCTGGAGCCCTTCCAGGACATATACCCTTGGTTGTCCCTACGGCTGGGTGTTGGTGACATACAGCAGCTCCTTGGCATCCTTGCTGGTCTCTCTCTCTTGTGAAGTGTCTTCACTTGTGCAGTTAGAAGAAGGTATTGGGTTTGTCTCACTCTCCTCTGTCCCGCAGGCTGGTTGCAAAGGAGGAAGCATGGTAAAGGCAGCATCTTTCCAGGATCCATGGGCTCTTTGAGAGATGATCAGAGGGAGGCCAGATGATCTGCACAACACGCACGCCACTGTTTCTTCTCTGCAAAGGCAGCATCGGAGCATTCTCCCCAGCCCTGCGCCCCACGGTGTGCCCGATCGTTTCCGGATGTTTCGCAGCTGCGAGTGGGAGGTCCTGGAACGATCCCTCAATATCCTCCAGGCCAGCGACTTCTACTGGGGCCCCTTGTCCGTGGGGGAGGCTCATGCCAAGCTCCAGCGGGAACCTGTTGGCACCTACTTGGTGCGGGACAGCTCGCAGGGGAACTGCTTGTTCAGCCTGAGCGTGCGGATGCCGACGGGACCTGTCAGCCTTCGGATCTCTTTCCAGGAGGGCTATTTCCGCCTGAAGAACTGGTTTGCAGACTGTGTGGTCCGGCTGCTGGAGCTGGTAGTGGCAGGGACGCGGAACAACCCCTTGCACTTTGATGAGATGGGGGGAACTCCCCTGGTTTTCTCTGAGCCCCTGTGCCGGAGCCGCCGGGCAGTGCCTACACTGCGAGAACTGTGCTGCCGGAGCCTGCCCGCTGGTGCCACAACAGGAGATGGAGCAGAGCTGGGGGGCTCCTGGGAGATGCGCCCGAGAGAGGAGGTGTTCTCACCCCCAAGCGGAAGGGGAGGGTCGGAGAGGAGTGTTGTCCCTAGCCCCTCTCTGTCCTGGGCTGGGAGATGATGCCTTGTGCATGAGAGATGAAGAAAGGTGCCTGCTACATGGCTGTAGCGGGTGAGATGCACGCCGTGCCGGTGAGGCTGGACTGCTGCTGGGAGAGGAAGGAGAGGGCAAGGGGGTAGGGCTTGAACCTGCTGGCTGTGACAGCTGTGTCCTTGTACGTGCACGGTGTGTGTGGCCTTCCCCAGAGATGCCTGGGGTAAAACCAAACCTGAAAAGCAGAGATTTCCCCCTCCTCCAAGTCCTGCTCTGCTCCATTTATACCTTATAAGCTTGAGAAGGTGAGTTGCCTGTCCTCCCAGGTCAGCCCTGTGTTTACCACAAAGTGCCTAAGCTCATTTCTGCTGCAAATCTGCCCTTGTGAAGTGGTGCGGCTGAGTCCAGTCCCACAGTAGTGCAGCTCGGGCATTGGTGGGCATGACCCCTGTGCTGACCAGATAACCGTGGAGCAAGAGCACGTTTCACTCCTTGAAGCACACATGTGATGCCTGTCACTTCAGAAGCCAACATTTGCACTGGAGGGAAACTGTTGCAGCCATGTACAGCTTCACTGGCTTTTGCGTTGCTTTATTTGAACAGATTTTTGGGAGTGCATATGAGTTACTTTATACTAAGGGCATGGTGTTCCCGCGGAGGTAACCCTTGCCTGGAGAGTGCGGTCTGCCCTGGGAGGATGTGAAGAGATGGGATCCAGTGCCCGCCCTTATGCTCATCTGATAGTATGCTGCTGCCATCTAGAGAATATAAAAAGATTTTTTGGTTTTGCCTTCAAAAAGGCAAAGAATTTTTTATATAGGACTTAAAAATGTTAATAAACATGTTTTTATACTTATTTTAAAAGTCAATGAATACACTGCGGTATTTTCATTCTCTTGCTTGGTTAGTTTAGAGCCAAGACATAGCAGACAAACTGAAATGGAACAAGTGAATTTCTTAGGAAGACCAAAAGCAGAATATAAGTGAATGGTCCTAGCTGGGAACAATAAACTTAATTCATCTTATAGTGTAATCAAGTAAAGAATTTTCTGAACAGAAGATACTTCCTAAAAATGTAGGGGTGAGATTTTCAGTATTTTTAGTACCTTAAAATTTGTACTGTATGTTTGAAAGAAACGAGTAATTCAGGATCCTAGAACATGGCACAGCATCAGTGAACTCAAACTGATGAGGATGAGTACAAATGAGAGGAACAGAGTTGACTTAAATAGGGTTATGATTCATTTCAGGGATGCAGGCAGGTATGATGTCTTCAAAATAAGTGACTGAAAACAGCTACGTGAAAAGAGAAATTCAGATACTGTGAAATTCGAGCCAAACCAATTTACACGCTGCCAAGCATCTGTTGCCAGGCAGGCAGCCTGATGAGCTCACGCTGACTTTCCCCTTCAGACCTGTACAGGGGAGAAAAGCCAAACATGGGGAGAGATTACTCTGAACTTGCTCTTTTGGCTTCAGGTATCTTATCTGAGTAACTAAAGCATGTGGTCAGCACAGAGAGAGAGAGAGAGAGATACAGGGCGTGATTCATCACAGGAGCCTAACTTAGACGCTCTGAATTACACTCTGGAGGACTCTGTCGCTCTGCCGACAGCAAGGTGCCTGGCCTCCAGTCTTGGGGCATTGGCTTATGAACCACGATAGTTAAATTAGTGCCAGAGAAGCAGCCATCTTCTCCTTGCCTCCGGCTCCTCTTGGTCTCGGGGAGGCTAGGGGCAGCTTGATGGCCCTACAGCTGCTATGGCTCTTGGCCCAGTGCAAAAGCATGAGCTGGGATCATTCACTATCACAGGGTTCGCGTGCACTGTGGCAGCTGACATGTGGCTATGGTGTTGCTTGCTGCTAGACCTGTCATCTCATGCAGGGCCAGGGCAAAATGTTAAGCAGGTAATTGCATCAATCATCATTGCTGGATCCATTAGGGGTGGTGAATTGGAGCCCTCAGATGCCTGAGTCAAGCTGTGATGCCCTGAGTGGGGGCTGAGGTTCAACCCACCCCGAGAGAATAGTCCTGTGCATCCCCTGCTCAAACACACACCCTGTAGCTCCAGGTTATTGGCATCTCCAGCTCCTGAAGCAGCCCTGTCTAGGTACTGTAATGCGTGCAAGGACTGAGTGTCTTGGCAGACAGTAAAGCTGAATCCTTCTGCAGGCTGACTGGCAGCAGATGCCAGCAGCATCTTGAACTGCATTAACAGGAGCACCAGCAGCAGATGAGGGGAGTGATTATGTACCTGTACTCACCATTGGACCCCAGTTAGAATATTGCATCCAGTTTTAGGCTTCCTAGTGCAACAAAAATGTAGTAAATCAGAGTGACCTTTGGAGGGGGAACGACCCCAAGAAACTCAGGAGGCTGGAGCACCTGCCCTGTGAGGAGATGGTGAGGGAGCTGGGCTTGTTCAGCCTGGTGAGGAGATGGCCTCAGAGGGACCTAACAGCAGACTGCCTGTACCTACAGGGTCAGCAAGGAGCCAGGCTCACCACAGTGGTGCCCAGTGGGAGAACAAGCCACAGCAGACATAGGGAAAATGTCCAGGCTGGATATGAGAAGATGCTTTTTCCCATGAAGGTAGTCTGGATGGGAGGTACGTTGCCTGGAGATGTGTGGTCTCCACACTTGGAATTTTTCAGGACCCAACTGGGTCAAGCCTGGAGCATCCTGATATGGCCCCAGAGCTGGTCCTGGTGTGAGCCCCAGGCTGGACTAGAGGGGACCTTCTGGGGTCCCTTCCCCTGAAAGAGCTCTGCAGTCCTGCGTTTTTGTAGGGCAGGGAGGTGGGACTGGCCATGGAGGAGGTGGTGGGGCAGAAGGGTGGTGGTGCTTTGCTGCAGGTGCTGCGGCTGCAAAACCCACTGCGGAGGGAAGGGTGGATGCTGTACCAGGAGTGTGCTGCCAGGATGCCAGAGCAGGATGGTGGCATGCTGTGCTGGTGGAGGGAAAACTTCTCATTCTGCATAGAGCATTCCTAGGCCACACACATGCTCTGGATGTTGCTGCCTGCCATGGATTTGGCCTGGTCTTGGGTACCATCCCATTGCTTATCCTCAGTGCTCTTTTTGCAGAGCTCCAGCAGAGCGCAAGTCTCCTGTAGCTCCTATGCCTGCCCTGCAGGCATCTCAGGTGGCTCCGTGCACCTGTGTTTCGAGACCATTCCCTGGCTCTTGGGTGAAGCCCCTGCCTCAGTGGAGTCAGCCACACAGCTGCCCTCCCTCTGTGCCTGGCACTGGAGGAGTGGGACTAGGTCTGCCGCTCCAGGCACCCTGCCCGTCCCCTCGATCCTTTCCTTCCTTGGGGGTGTTGTTGCTGAGGCGCCTTGACTGCCTTCCCTTCAGAAACTGGGGAGGGGGGAAGGAGTGGGCTAATTTCTTCCACGTTTATAACTTAACACAGGAATGCTTCTGGTTTATGGTCACAGTTATAGCTCACAGAGGGAAGAGCTTTCTAACTGGATTGCTCTGACCTGGCTGTGAACTGTTCTCATTTGGCCCAAAATGAGCATCTTTGGTTGTATGGCTGGGGGCTGCAAAAGAGCCCCGTTTGCGGCCCAGATTGTGCTTTAGGAAAATCACACCAAGAGAAGAGGAAATAGTTTGGATCTTAATGAAGTCTACTTTTTTTTTTTTTTTTTTTTTTTTTTTTTTTTT